TTCGGAGAACCCTTTTAGTTTCGAAGACTTCCAAAATTCGATTTTAATCTCCACAAAACATGGACTAATATGAATAAATTAATTAAAATGAATTGAAACCATCAACTTGTGCAAATTAATATATTATGACGTAACTTCTAAATTCTTTTTGCATTGTAATAAAAGACATTGACTTTTAATTTTATAAAAGCAACTTCACAATTCATTTAAATTTCTTATATAAAATTTAAAATATAGAGAATGCAGGGAAAAAAAATATTTTCCAATCCCTTTTATGAACAATATTGTGTTTTATTCATGTAATAATTTATTATTATTTCAATTTTCAACTATTCTTTTAAAATTTTTATTTATTGTTCATTTTAGTAGCTCATGGGATTGTAATTATTTGTAAGAAATTTTAAAGTGAAAACGTTTTGGTCCTGTTTCACACGCATTGGATACTTTTGAATTCGTAATAAAATTTAGTTTTTACGATGTTTAATAAATAAGAAATTCAAAGAGTATTTTTGCCATAAACATTGTGAAAAGTCTCGTTTGTAAATAACATTATTATTGTTAAAGTTTCTCTTTTAGTCGCATAATCTTTGTTGAAATTAATCTCTCTTATCAAAAAGCTATAAATAGTTCAATCAAGTGAACTTTAGTCCCAGTCAACAAAATTGATGAACTCAAACCTGGAACGATTGATTTGATTCCTAATCTGGTGAACTAAATTCCACTTCTACGAGTTCTATCAACTAGTCCGAGGTCAACATCAAGTCAATTTCTAACTTACTCTAATTTTGGAATGAATTACACACGAACATGTCCAATACAAGTTATTTGTAATGGTCGTAGTAAAGCAGGAGGCAAATGACCATCAAAACTTGTATCAGCACGCCTAGTTCTAGTCACAGGCTAATATTTGATACCCGAATCATGCCTTGCCATGCTTAAGATGTGTTGAATTACTTTGTTATAGATGACTAGATCAATTTCTAGATTTTTACACAATCAACATCCCATCCCACTAATAAAAGTTTGTAATAGTAAAATAATAAACCTTAATATTCAAACTTGTTAATCAAAATGAAAAGAAATATAATTCTTTTGACTATGCACCTTAGTGGCAAAGCACTAAAATAGTGGAAACCCTTTTTGGGGCCCCCAAGACAACTAGTCTCAATACCATTAATTTCTTTGGGTCATTATTTTGCATAGATAACATTCGAATATCATTAATTGATACATTATCTTAAAAGTAGAAAAATGAATCCCATTTAAAGTGACATATCACTTAAAAGACATTTAAATTGGTGCTATAGCATACGTAACATTACACTTTGTTCATTGTCCAACATGATTGATCGAGCAAGGTGGGCCGCCTCACATAAATGAATCACTTGAAAGCTCCTTGTATCCTCTTGAACCATTGGATAAAAATATTTAAAATGTTCAAGAATGAAACGTTTACATCATTAAAATCTTGTTTTCGACATACTTTCATCATTAAATGTTTAGTATGTATTATTTTTATTTGATTAAAAATTAAAATAAGAAAACGTTTTTTACGCTTTTTTATGCATATGTCTCATCTAAGCTCGCTTAGCCCTGAGCTTGGCCTCCATGCATCGCCACGCATTACGCCTTTTAGAATACTGACAAAATCACATTATATAGACATTTTGGCTGTTAAAGAAAATTATGTATATATTACTTTTTCCATCTCGTAAAGAGTTTTGCTTTCGTTTTCACACAAATTGAAAAAATGCAATTAATATAGTTGCGTGTGTAATGCTATTAAGCATCACTTATGTTTAACATCGATCTTTGTGGCAATACTGTGCCATTAAATTATAAATTTAATTAAATACAATGATTCAGACTCATTTATTAGAACATATGATATGTTGACACAAATTGATGTTTAACTTCATTGATATTAGAAAACATTGTTCCAGTTGAAAACATAAATTTTACTTACATTTTTTCTAAATCACCCCTACATCAAATAATTGTTTAAATAAGAGGAGTTCATATTTAAATATTTTCTCCGCGTTTCACGAGCTTTGAAAGATCAATAAAAATAGGAGAAAAATAAAGAAATGCAGAAAAATATTCAGGGCTAAAACATGACTCCACCAATTTATCACCAACCATTTATATCAGATTCATTTAGCCTTCCAAAGCTTCTTTTTGAACCACAATCTTCCACTAAGTGATTTTTGGAGGTTTTCTCAACTTTTCAAGTGATATAATTATGAACCCTCAACCTTTAAATTTAAAATTTTGGATTGTAAACCTATTTGAATATGTTAATGACAGAGATTTTCAATTTGAAAAATCACACACAAATTTTAATTGAATTGGAAATAAATGTTGAATAATTTGAAGATTTACCTTCTAATTATAAATCATGCGAAAATTACGTGCAATTTAAACATTTAAATTGCAATTTCATGGCCTAAATTCACCAATTTTTTAAATTCAGTTTTAAAGATTGGGAACCCAAAACCAATTTGCACATGATGTTTAGAGTACATACCAACAAGTCAAAGTACTAATCTTTGCGTTGAAAATGGTGTAGCTTGATTAGATCCCTTTTGCCCCCCATTATCTTAAAAATCTATTATTCTCTCTTATTTTTAACACCACCATATTTTATAAAATAATATTATACATAAATTAAAAAAAATTCCTTATTTTTTAATTACACATTCTTTAAAAAATCTATTCCAGATATTATAATTTTAAATAACGAGGGCAAAACAGGAGCTTAGATTTGATTAAAAAAATTATTAATATTTTGCTAAAAAGTAATAATGTACATGAAAATAATCATTTACAAAGCAAGTTGGGCAAGATTGCTTGCATTTTGGATGCTGCTATTGAAATAGCCTTTCTAGCTATATTTTCGATTACTCTACCCATTTCGTATAATATTTGACCCGATTTAATAACTACCCAATATTTTGGTGCCTAATCATTGCAACCCCCTTTGTGAGGAGGCACCCAATATTTTGTCGAGTTATTTAGAGAGAGTCATCTCTTGTTCTTGCCTCTTGTTATTTGAAGAGACCCTCTACTTCAATTGGTACTTTTTCATGAAAAGCAGACATCTAATAAGATATTCAGCGGAGTACCAAATTCATGTTGATTCTGTTAGGTTTATATATTGTATTGGCGATTCTGTAAACAAAATGACCAACTTGAACGATTATAAAAGTTAGGGACTAAATTGTAAATTTTCATAGTTGGTAGATTAGTTTAGGATTTAGGGTTTCATGTTTGGAACAAGAAGGATTCATGCCGGAGTCATGCTTGAGCGGATGAAGCACAAACATCCTAACTCGACATTCGCCCCACTTTCTCTCAAGCAACAGACCCTTCGTTTGAGCGAAACGTCCTCCTCGCTTGAGCGACTTATTTTTCAGCCAGACCTAATTTCGATTTTCGAGACTTTTACTAGCCCATTTCACATAAACTGTCCAACCTATAAATATAGACGCCACATATTCTACTTGTGAGAGATTGAACATACTAATTTTTAGAGAGAATTCATCCTACACAAGATCAAAAGTTCAATCCTTCAATCATATATGCGCTCATCATATTGAAAACATCAAATCCATCAAGTCAAACACCAAATTGCATTCTTCGCTTAGGTCTATCAGAAAGATTGTTTCGTCAACTTTGCTGCTTTGAAGATCAAAGAAGAAGTTGAAGAACATGGAGTTCTTGGGAAAATCTACAGAAGATAAACTGTGTAAAGAGTTAGGATTGGAGTTCGTGTGCTCATTCCAGGAGGACTACTTTACAAATAAGAGCCAGGATTGGTGTTAGTGTGCACATTCCAGGAGGTCTGCTTCAAACTGCAGACAGGAAATCAGAAAACTTGTAGCGTCAACTTTACTAGTTAAGTTTATCAAAAGTTTATAATCGATCTTCTCCGTGAACAATTCGGTGTTGTTTACTGCTGTCCTGTTTTGATATTACTGCGC